TCAAAGACTGCTAACTGTGACAATAGTTATCTATATTAAGCTAGACCTAATTATAAGCACAAATTTATACGGAGATATAAATAATGGCGAAGCTATGCTGTTATTTTCCATGTAGGGGTAAATGTTCTTTGACTGGTCAGTCTTCTGGTTGGGTTTCACTGCCCTACTTGTGGTAGAGATAGAAAATGTGGTTGACTTAGGAAAGGCTAAAGATTTGATCTCAGGCTCCTTGGCAAGTGACCTAAGGGCTGTACACCCACAGGAGCTACCGATGTGTAGTGAGTCCTTAAATTGCAAAACTGGTGTTCCAGGGAACATGGCGTGCCGCATTCCATTAAGTACAGGGTGACCTTTTTTAAAATAGTCTTAGGATTTTAAAATTCCCAAACCAAACCCACAGTCAGAGTCAATTGTGACTCACAGTGTCCCTATAAAACAAAATAGGGGTTCTTCAGCATTTTCAGGACTGTAAATCTTTGTAAGAGCAAACAACCTACTATTTTCTTAATTGTATACCCTAATCTTACAACTATTTTGCTCTCCATCATGGATTCAATTACATTCTTAGGTAGAATCATAGGCGATTATCAGGCCCTGACTACTAAACTATTGAGAATCCTGGGAGAGTTGAGTTTACACAAAACCCAATTATCATGTACTCTCTACTCTTTTCTTACTTGATAGGTCGTCAATGTTTGGTGACTTTTATAAATCAATTAGCTAAAATTTAATTATGTGGACTCAAACTTTGTGGAGAGGAATATCATTTTATGTCTTGAGTATTAAATACTGACTTGCACATACTAATTTTGTTTTATCTTTTATTTCAGAAGCAAATAAAAAGACAAATGATCCAGACCAAAAGGAAAAAGGTGAGATTAGCAAATAAACTGCATTTAGCATAATGGTTTTACCTTATATTCCTAGTAAAATTTTCTATGGGGTTGTTATTTCAATGATTTTAAAAGTAAACATCAATATTCTATGCAGGAAACATTAATAGCTGAGTGTTTGGAGATTATTTGGCTCAATCTCCCATTGGATCATGGTTCTATAAAGGCACAGTTTTTTTTCAGTTTTGTTCATTATTGCATTCTCCCATGCCTAAACTCTACCTGACACATAGTAGGTACTCAGCAAATATTTGTTGAATGGACACCCTTATTTCAAAAAATGAGGATTAATACAAATAGCCACCAAAGGTTCTATAAATTTCAACTATAAGTATAGAACTGGGACCCGATAGAAACCCGAGGACTGAATTCTGCAAGAAGCCCAACATTTGGAGGATAAAGCAGACTGGGATAAGGAGCTCTTCTGTTACTACTCCTAAAGAAACCAGAGATGGTGTGGTCACCACTGGGACTTAATGTGTCTGACCTCAGTATGCATGCTGTAACACTATATCTGTTGGGAACACAGAAATAACCAGGGAAAGATTATTTAAAAATACTTCAACCAGCTGTTTCATCCAGAAATGAGGATAATACTACTTCATGTGCCCTAGGGTATCTTTCACAGCATGATAGTAAAATGAAAATATCTGTAAATGTTAAATATGATCTGCTATAATCATTATTATCCAAATCGCTGGAATTCAAGTTGCTTTGGTTAGGAAAAACAATATAAATAGATTAGGCATTTGTGGACTTTATCTGTCTTTCTTTTTTTTAGGGTTGGTGGGGTGGTGGCTTTAACATCAGTGTGGAATTTTTAATTTTGCTAAACCAGAACTTAAAAAAAGTAACCTACAGGCTGTTGTAGCAACCCAAGGCAGCCCTTGAGGGTTAATTGCAGCCAAGTCTCACTTAGCTACAAACCCAAAGTGAAACAGAAAGGAGAAAATGAAATTCTTTTTGTCCTTTATTTTTGTTTTCTGGTCCTATACAGGTCAGGAAAAATGAACTCGTCTTTATTAAAACTTAATTTTCTTATCAACTACTAAACCACCCAAGGTTGATTATATTCTGGATTCAAACCAAAACTAAAACTCACCGAATTTTACTAAATTTAAATTTGTTCCATGTAATAGAAAACTCAAAGTACATTATTTTACATAAATCAACTGCTTACTTACATACATAAATTCTGAGACAGTCTGTCCATTTCTATGGCTTATAGAGACCAACTCCTCTCTTGACATTCTGCTTTCTTTAGTAAGTAGCCTCAT